CATAGGATTGCTGGGTTATAGGTTTAAGCGTATACAATTTAGTAAGATGCTGCCATATTGTTTTCTACAGCGGTTATACCATTAATTTTTTATTTTCACTAACAGTATACCAGTGATCTAGTTCATCAGCAGGAGTTATCCATTTTTGCCATTTTGGTGGATGTTAGTGGAATCTAGTTGTGGTCTACTTTATTTTTTATAATTACTTTATTGTTATTATAGAGGTGATGTACAGAGGGATTACAATTACGTGAGTCAGGTAACGAGTACCTTTTCTTTCATACAGCACCTTCTGTTCCCCCACTCTCTCCCAGTGGTCTCTTGTATACTTCCCTGGTAACAAGTACTATTCAGGCTCTTTTTATGTCTTGGTTGTCATTTGTATTTTCTCTGATGTAGATGTCTAAAGTTATAGCATGTACATTTCTTGAGGTCATAAAATATATCATAGGAATGGAAATCTTGACGTGTTGTGGCATGACTCACTGGTTGGTAAGGGCTGTCAAGAGAAATTGAATATTTAACAAGATTCTGAAAGGTGTGCTGTGTGAAATACTGTGGCGGTGGTCCCGGGACAAATCATTCTTACAGGCAACATTTAACGGACCTGCAGCCTGAAATTTAACATTGTCTCTTGCAGGGTTTTTAAAGAGGCAGCTTCTGCCTTGTCACAACCTGAGGGACTTGATGCAAGCGACACTTGTTGGAAGACGTTATGGTGGTCTGTTCATAGCTGTGCATTTGGCAGTTGGTGTCTTTGAGTTTTGAGTCTGACTTCTAGTGTTTCTTTTTTGTAGATTAAGAAAATTGTTAGTACAGGGTGGTGCACAGAGGGATTGCGGTTACATAAGTCAGGTCATGGGTACGTTTCTCTTGGACAGTGTCACCCTTCCCTTGCTCTCTCAGTTTTTCCCTCCCATTCCGACTCACAAGTGAATTTTTAATATAGTGTCTAGTGAGTACCATTGCTGCATTTGTTCACCCTTTGTCCCTCCATTTGTTCTCCCCCCTCCCCTCCTAAAGGCAGACAAACAAGGCAGAAAGAAAACAAAATAGCAACAAGGGAAAATCCTCTTGTTTCCATAGACTTCTGGTTTCATGACTTTCAGGGACTTTCCTGAGGCAATTCGAGTAGAACTAATGAGCCCCCGAGGTGCCCCACAGGTTCTTAAGGGCTTCTGTGGCATCTCTACAACCTTCTTACAAAATCACAATCATTTCCAACCACTCTTAGAGGTTTTCAAAGACTTGGGCTTTTCATCCATGTACCTCCACCCCCTGAGCATTCTGAACTCCCAAATGAAGCCTTACGTTGTGGTGGGGTGCCAGGCCCTCAGATTTCCTTGTGTACCTGTGGGCATGTGGAGGGACTCAGCAACCGCAATTCTCCAGGAGCTTATGGACTAGAGTTGTTCCCCTTACACAGTCCTGGAGTCAGGTTGGAGTCAAAACGCCCTGTTTTGATGGTGGCAAATGGGCAGACCTGAGCTTAGGGACTGGCCAGTGCAGAAGTCCAGACGATGTATCTAATCAATGATATACTTACAGACGCTGACATTCACAGGGTGCAGGAGGAAGGCCACTCCAGACTCGTCTGCAAAGAAAGTGAGTGGAACTGGCACCGGGTTAATTGTTTATCTAGACCCAGCGATGGGATGATGACTACCAAAAAAAAGTACTTCAGTGGGGGCCGAGCTGGTGAAGCTCTGTGGAGCGTGTGCGCGCGCACGTGTGCACACATGTGTGCATGTGCTGTCTTGGTGCGGCTCAGGCAGGGCAGCAGAGCCAGCTGTACCCTGGGAAGTGAAGGTTCCACTCTCCCAGCAGTGTCTGCAGCCAGCAGGCACTCTACCAGGCGCTGGCCCCTCGCACGTGACACAGGAAGTGTTGTTCGTGGTAGAGAGTTGAAGCTTTTTCTTATCACGTAAGAGCTTTTCAAACTGTTTTTAAAAATAAATGAACACAGCTATCCACCTGTATCCGTGTAAGCTAGAGTCGCCTCTGCCGTGATAACTCAAAGTCTGTTGACCAGAGTGCAGGCCGCTGGCGTCCGTTTGGTCAGCTCCAGCTAAATGAGACGCGCTTCTCCGCCTTCCAGCTTGGAGGGCCTCTGGTGCACATTTGAACGGGTTTGGGTTTATTGGGAGACCTCTGAATCCGTCCCACACGGAGGAGCTGGCCAGGGGAGTGACGCTCAGCAGGGCCTTCTCCTGGCCACTTGACCTGATCATCCTCAGGCCTTCTCCTGTCCTCCCTGAGCTTCCTCAGCAGCGTTGCTTTAGCCTCACAGCGGACAGCCTCCGATCGTGGAAATACAGACCGTCTTCACTTCACGTTTTTCTCTGTTCCAGTCTTTCTCCCTCCCAGCCCCTCGAGGGAATCACACAGCATTATATTTGGGCTGTGCTCTGGGAGCTTGGCCTTTGGAGCTGTAGGTGTGTATGCTTGTGCCTGCTGATTTATGCTAGGAGGTGGCCCGCATCCAGGACCCTGGGCTTCTCTCCTCGGTGTCCGAGGAACCCTTAGGAAGGAGGAAATCGTTCTGGACCAGGCCCACGGCCATGGCTCAGACTCCTCAGGAGAGACTCACTCGCTTTTCCTCTGGCTCTCTTTCTTGGCTTCCATGTTTCTTTGGCTGGAAACAGAAAGAAAGGAAAAGTAATGAGGGGAAGCCCTTCGTTGGGTAACACTTATCCACCAGTGTGGATCCTCCCAGCCCAGCCCAGAGCAGGCTCCTCTGCCTCTCTCCGCACTTCCTGCCTCTCCTGTCCCCTCCCTCAGTGATGGCGCCCAGCATGCCCTTACCCTTGGCCCCACACCTGGCCTTTCAGCCATCTGCCCTGTTCTTTCTCCCAGTCTGCCTCTCCTCACCAGGCCCTCATGCTCCTGACCTTGTCAGACTCCTGTGCTGTGGCCTCCATCTCTCCTCTTTACTACGTGCAGCTCCCTGGGAGGCGGATGCTGTTGGAGGGCATAATGATGTTCAGACAAAAAAAAAAAAAATCTTCAGGGAAAAATCCAGGCAGGATTTTTGACACCTCCTGAGGGTCATTCAGCCCTGACCCCGCCTTGTGGTGGTTTTCAGGTCCCTGTGCTGCAATTGGGCCATTCAGTGTCTGAGAGTGCAGCATTTTATGTCTGTCCTGAGGCCCGACAGATGATACTAATCTCACACCTTCTGGTCCCTGGGGGGGTCCCGCATAGTCCCCAGGTTAAATGGAGCAAGATATGAAAGCCAGGGCTCGAGCTGCAAGTGGCCATGTCCACCGACCCCTCCCCTGAGGCAGGGAGACCAAGTGTGTGGTAATGTGGAAACAACACACATCCACGTCTCTTCCTGTCGCCATAGTCCTTTCAGGAAGCCTGTGTCTACAGATGAAAAGAGGATGCAGAATAAGTTGCCGGGGGTGGAGAGACGCCCCAGTGATTCCTACACACCTTGACCCTCCCTCCACTCCGCTTTCCCTGTAGTACTCACTGGCTACAAGGAGATGACTGATTGGGGGCAGGGAGCTGTGGGTGGAGGCCGGCTTGGGACTTGTGTGCGGCAGAGGCAGGAGAAGACACGTGATCGTCCAGCGCTTCCAGAGGCACCCCGACCTCACTGAGGTCATCGCCCCCTTTCCCAGAAACTCTTCTTGCAGCAGGCAGATCTTGGCTTTGTGGGGGGCTTTGACTGGCCTGGGGCCTTCTTCTTGTTTCCCCCCATCTCCTCCTCCCCCCCTCTCTCCTGTTCTGGCTCCTCCTGCTCCCTACCTCCTATTCTGCCCCAGAGCAGTGGAGCCTGGCAGGTGTTTGGAATGCAAGACAGGAACTCAGAAGTTAAGATGGAGAACTAGCAAGACCACAGTTAGTTCCTTGAAAAGCCGCCGAGTAGATGGGGCATCCTAGACAAATGTGCCCTAGCTCTGGTCCACTCTGCTGGCCCAGTGTGCCCAAGGAGATCCCGTGTGTTCTAGTGCGGTGGACCTTATGCTTCGTGTGGAAGTAGTGGCTGCATATGATTCGAGCTGTGCGCTTATTAGTGTTGGGATCTTTCCTCCCAACACCAGAGAATGCGGCAGCGGAAGTCAGATGGGCGCTTCCTGCAGCTTCCTGGCGCTGGAGGGAGGGAACATAGTTCTGGCAAATGCTCTCTGCTCTTTCCGGCCTGCTGTAGTTCTCCTAGATGTCAATTAAGTCAGAGCCAAATAAATGACCACAGGCAAATCCCTTAAATTGGGAGTGATTTTCTTTTTTTCAAGCTGGAGAAATGGATGCATTTTGTAAGCTGTTGTAAGTGCTGCGTAGGGGGATGCAGTTCAAGTGCTTGTGAGTGTCATTCGCGGTGTCCAGTCCTTGGAGTTGGGCCCCAGCTGTCTTCTTAGGCTGCACACCTTCTGCTGTCACTGTCACCTGTAGTGTTTCTCTCAGATGCCGGTGGTGCACCTGAGAGGAACTCGGAGGGATGTTTTGGAGTCTTGGGAGTTGTCAGTCCTGACCGGAAACATTGAGGGAGGACAGAGCCCCCCTCATAGAGGGGGAAGACCCGAAAGATGCAAGAGGGGCAAGCTTCCCCGGGGCTTTGTTTTATAAGTAGGATTTCTCAGCTGCAGAGTCTCCAGGCAGGGGGAGGACACCTTTAACCACTCCCTGTAACCTCTGAACTTTAGGTCAGGGTTCACGCTTTTTTTGGGGGGTGGGGTGGGGGTGCTCAAGACTAGTGCTCTACTACTTGAGCCAGAGCTCCGCTTCTGGCCTTTTGGTGGTTGGTTGGCATTAAGAGTGTCACAGGCTTTCTAACCCTGGCTGGCTTCAAACTGCAATCTTCAGATCTCAGCCTCCTGTGTGTTAAAGCTGAGCTGGTAAGGGGCAGACAGACTCCTCTTTCCCAGGCTGGCGTTAGCATTCTGGTTTGCCACTTCCCCTCTTGCCCTTGTTGGGAGTCAGAGACCTGGGAAACGATTTAAAAACTTTAAGCCTGGATGTAAAAAACTTATTAGTGAAAATGAAAGGCAAGCATGTGCTACAAAGGTATGTCGTTTTGGAGTTTTTTCTCTTTCCCCTGATCTTGATCAGATCTGAGATGTCTTTGTGGAGACAGCCCTGTGTAGAGGGTGTTCGGCAGCTACCTGAACTGGCGTAGCGCAGACCCCGCCCCTCAGAAGCAGAGGACCTGCACTGCTGCTATCAGCTACTGAGCTCTGACTGTGTACTGAACTCTGTTGTTCCCATTTATAGACGAGGAAACTGGAGTCTGTGAGGTGAGTCACGTTTAGAGGCCATGAAGTAGTGAATCTGGTTTATTTAGAACCACTTCTATGTGGTGCTCAGACCAAGCTTCTAAAACATGCCCTCCTCCCAATGCATCCAGCTACTGCCTTGTCCTGTTTTTGAATGCATCTATTGCTTTAAGCCTCTGGTTACAGTTACAAGATGTACTTTTTGAAAGTACACATGAACTAAATCTGACAGCCTGTGGACAGCAGGAAGGCGTCTGTGGAGCACGCATGCTGGACCGGGTGAGGGTGGGAGACAGGCCTTGGGGCGCGGTGCGTGCTGGGCTGCTCCCAAACAGGCCTTACGGTGTCAGGCAGCAGAGCCCTCCTTCCCTCTCATCTCCATGCGGCGTTCGGAAAAAAACTCAGCTATCTCACGTCTCCTTTCCCTTGTTTATGTTACTGAAGTGAAGTTCATGGGGCTTGCGCCTGTTTCCTGGGGAAATCAGCCTGGCCTACGATTCCATTGTCTTCTGGGACGGGGATGATGTGGAAGATGGACCTCCTCCCAGCAGCCAGTCCCTTCTCCGCGCCTGTGCTCTGCCTCCTGCATCCTGGAGGCCAGTGCTCAGGGCTCCTGTGACTCTGCCACTCTGGGCCCATGGCCCTTCTTGGTGGCTGGTGCATCTGGAAGGACGGCCCCTCCTCTGTTGGCAGTCCTTCTCCCTAGATAGTCCACTTCCTTCCTGTATGGCCTCTTGGCTCTTCTGTCAGACTGAGGGGCAGAGCTGGGGGGGGGGTGCAGCCGTTCCCCTTGCGGTAGGGCAGGGCGTCGGGGCAGCCTGCCGGGAGCGGCTTTTCCTTTTCCTTTTCCACTCCCCACAGCTCCCAGACACTTTCCTTCCCACTTAGTACAAATTAGGATGCAAAGCATCTTGACAGAGCCGGAATTCACTGTCATCTGCTTCCACTTCTCTAAACAGTAATTAAGGCAAAGCCCACGTTATGTCTGGATGTCCCCGTCAGCGCCTGTGGTGATGGTGCACCCCGGTGGCTGGCTCCGGAGCCTGGCGAGCCAGCGGGCTGTCCTTTTACTGGACAGGCCGTGTGGGGTGGTGGGGGCTGCGTGTCATCTTTCTGCCAGGCACATGCTCATCCTGGGGGCACTGTCCACTTCCAAAGAGAACCACACGAAGGCCAACAGCTTGCGTGGTGATTCTCTTAGCTTGGGTGTTGGGGTTCTTTTCCATTTTGTTTCGTTTGAAAGTATTGCTGAGAAGTTCTGTGCAGAACCAAAGCTGTTGTTGGGAGAGGAGGAAGGTGTGTGGCAGCACCCGGGGCTGGAGGGTGAAGATGAAACCCTGTGCCCTCTTCAGAGAGCCGGGCCTGCGGCTCGTGCTGCGTGCTTGCTGCCCAGCAGTGCCGCTGCCTCTCCCCCGGCTCCTTCATTTGCTGATGTGTCCTGACCTGGCACTTTGTGGGTTCGTGTTTCATGAATTCTCAGCTTGGGGGGCCATCATGGCCAGGAAGCTCGAGGGCCAGCACTCTGCCCCGCAGATGGGGTTAGCCGTCCGCCCCTCCTCCTCATCCCAGGGAGCTGTTTCCATTTTTATCACTTACTTATCTTTGAACAGATATATGAATATATCTTGCGGTAAGTTTTTCAAATCAGGCCCAACCCGGAGTCTTCTGGCCCTGTCCTCACGCCTCTGCTCAGAAGCCGCTGGAATCGCACTGCCTTGCAGAGGGTTCTCTGTGTGCCCATTTGTGGAAGTGTGCAGCTTTGAGTACTGTTTTTAGTGTCTCGTCTGTTCCTTTGACACAGTTTTATGCTCAGAGCTAAGCAAGTCTCCAGTGCCCTGCCTGATGGGAGGCCGATAGGAAAGTGGGAGGGGAAGGAAACCGTGGGATGCTCAGGGACTTCCCAGTTTCCTTTAAAAATTTCAAGACTATCTGGGCACTGGTGGCTCACGCCTGTAATCCTAGCTACTCAGGAGGCTGAGATACGAAGATCGTGGTTCAAAGTCAGCTCAGGCAGGAAAGTCTGTGAGACCCTTCTATGAACTACCAGAAAACCAGAAGTGGCGCTGTGGCTCAAGTGGTGGTAAAGTGCTCGTCTTGAGCTAAAGAGCTGAGGGACAGCGCCCAGGCCCAGAGTTCAAGCTCTGTGGCCACCAAAAATAAACAAATAAAATTTCAAGACCAATGTACTCATGTTAATCATAGTGTCAAAGTAGGGAAACAAAAAAATTCTTGAACATTTCCCAGGACAACATGATTATTTTCTTGTATCTTTATGTACATCTAGTTTATATGTCTGTCCTCCCCTTTATAACAACACATTTAAAAAAATTCAGATTTTGCTTTTGATTTGTATGTGTGTGGATTGGTTTATAATGAAACTTGTATTTAATGAGATGGAAGGCTTTCTGTTCTTTTTGAGATAGTGTCTCATTGGGCAGCCTCGGCTGGCTTCGATGTCTCTGTCCTCCTGCTTCAGCCTCCTGTGTGCTGGGTTCTAAGATGGAAATGACTCTTACAGGCTGCATTTGCCTCTTTTGCAGAGATACAGTTGCTTGCTTTTTGTGCTCAGTTCCTGTGCGTGGAGCTGTATACGTGGGGCCTGGTCGCGTATGTCAGGCTGCAGCCTGGGCTCCTGCCTCATGCTTGGCCAGCAGGTTGGCAGGGTAGGCCCCCGTGGAGGAGGCCACTGCACCCCGAGGGCATGCTTGCTGTGCTCCCACCCCCGTTGGGGACACCAAATCCATGTCAGGAAACGCGTGGGAGAAAAACGAAAGGCGTGTCCTCTCTGTTTGCCTGCCTCAGAAGTCACCTGCTTAAAGGTCACCTTAGGTGGTTCAGGAAGATGGGTGAGAATGCCTGGAACCATCTGCAGCATTGTTGGGAAGCAGCTGCTGCTCAGGAGAAAAGCCCTGGATGGGAATCATCCAGCCAGGCTCTGCGTTTGTCTGTTCCCAGCTTCTCTCTGATGATCTAGGATGGGACAGGAAGATCCCTGGGCTCTCTGTCCATGCCCTCCCTGTGTGTGAACAAACGCACATGAGTAAATACCCTGAACACTCACTTTTGTTATGGCAACATTTCCTGGCTCTTTCTCCAAACTTATTTTTAACTTACCCTCCATCCCTCCAGCTTTAAATTAGCTTTTATTCTTGTTTGTGTACCTCATCATATATGAATACACATTTTAGGTCTGTCTGTCTGTCTGCATGTATTTATTTGTGGTACCGAGAATGGAACCCAGAACCTTGTGAATGCTGTGCACATGCTCTACCTCTGAGCTACACCTCAGCCCGTATATAATTCGAGGAGAGATGCTGAAGTGAGCCCTCTCCACCATTACCTGGTGTCCTGGTCAGGACAGAGTCCTCCGTGGTGCCCTCCGGCCGACCGTGCAGCCTCTTTGCTGCTCTCACTACACGTAGGTCTGCCAGCAATATATGTGCAACCCCAAGCCAACAGTGCAAGCCGATCTTGCCAGCTTTTGAAGTTTTATAGTAAATACTGAATGTATTCTGCTTTTAAAGATTTAATCAAGTTCATTTGTGTTCTGTGTAAGGAAAGGTTTTTCTTTCCATCTCCGTGTTGCTCCATTGTTGGAACGCATAGCCATTTATCCATTTTAACCCTGCCCAGTTTTGGTTGTTTTGAGGAGCTGTGGGTGCCCCTGTGCGTAACTTCTGTTCTAGTAGACAATAATGTTGTAGGTCGTCCTCGGGCACACCTCTTTACCACAGCTGTGACCTGGTGTGAGTCCGTGTGGGATCCTAATTCTCAGTGACACAGGCCTCACTCTATTCCCCGAAGGAGGCTGGCCCATTATTACTTTGGTTTTCCACTAGGCCCCGCGGGCTGCCATGCAATTGTGTACTTCCCAAAAGGCTTCTGGAAATGTTTGCCGCTGTCATTAACGCTCGTACTCTCTGCAGAGTTAAGTGTGGGATGAGACAGAGCTGCCATCTCCTATTTGCATGACTGTGTCCTGGCAGAACTGCCTCTGGGCACAGAGCTGTGTGTGTATGTGTTGCGTGTGGGTTCTTGTTTTCTCTACTGTCTTTCAAAACTTTCCTCTCCCCTTAGGTGCACCCTTCAGAAATGGAGCAAGGGCGGATGTGACGGGAAAGGAGGGTCCTGAGAGGTGGAGAGGCCAATTCAAGGCCGGGGTCTCCTGTCTTCCCAGGGCCAGCGTGTTGGGGTCCCAGGAAGGAAGTCAGTGTCTTTCCACCCAGGGTCTGGGGATCAACTGCCCTGCTTTGCCGTGGCTCCAAGTCGGGGACCGGGGGACCCGGGCAGGCCAGGGCAGGCCACATGGGTCCTACAGGCCAAATCAGCAAATTTCCTAGTGGACATTATAGTGTCTGTGAACCCATGAGCAAAGATGAGGCTACTACCACAGTCTAGGAAAAGCATGAATTTCCACAAATACCTGTTAATGAAATTTGAAATAGTTACAGTTACGGAGTACAGTTTCTGGGCTATAGGTCTACTAACAGGAACCCCTGGGATTCCTTTTTTTTGGGGGGGGGTAATGTTTCGCTTCACTGGGCTCAAACTGAGCCTTCCTGCTCAGGCACCTGCACATCAGGTAGGCCACTCAGCATCTCATCTGCCCGTGGAAGCGCCTGGCTTATGGCCACACGAGTCAGCTGCGGGCTGGCTCTGATCTGTGGCCCCTGAGCCAGGCCAGGTCCTCAGACACGCCAAGCACCTCGCCCGGCCACCCAGCCTGCCGCGGTGACCTAGGTTCCTCCGTGCCAGGGTGGAGGCACCTGCGGGGCCCCGTGAGGCCCCGGAGGAAGCAGGCTGACGGAGCCTAAGGGGGTGCCCTGTTCTAGAACCTCTGGGACAGGATGGCCTGTAGCAGCACAGCCGGGAAGGCAGCAAGGCTGCGGGACTGAATTTTCAATGGTTTTTTATTTTCGCTTTGGTTGAAACATCCCTCTGCCGCTGTGGTGGGCATGTGAGGGCGCAGGTGTGGACAGTGGGGAGGGACCCTCGGAGTGGGGGGGGCTCACGGTCACCTGTGCTGCGTACCATCCCCCCCTCCCCCGCTCCCTGTCCCCTCCCCGCACACTGTTTCCACTGTGTTCCTTGGGCCTGCTTCAGACACATTCCCGCAGTCTTGTTTCGGTAATAAATTTGCCCCATAAAACTTGTTTTATATAAACTAAAGGTCAGCTTGAGTCAGTCTGTGGGTTAATGAGGATTGGCCAGACACCAGCTGTTGGGCCCACCTGCCTAGGTCCTCATTGTCCATGCAGTGTGGGTGTTTGTAGTTCTTACACGTGTTCAGGTGCAGAGCTCCTCCGCCCCAAGCTTGAGCAGATGCCGAGGGGGAGTGGGAGGGAATGCTTAATCGGGTCAGAAATCTCAGCCGAATCTCAGCCAAGTTGGCTGACTCCTTTGACCTACAGAGACTTCTAAAAGCCTTCTTATTTTTGTTGCTTTAAGATTCCAGTGCTGTTTTATAAATAACTAGTGGACACAGGACTTTTGATATTGCCCAGTCTTAATCACTCCCGCTTCTCCTGACCAAGTTTAATCTCTTTTATCTATAAATATGCACCACAGTGAGGACGTGATTCTCACCGGGGAGGGAATTGCTTTTCCCTCTTGTGGTTTTAATTAAATTTACCTCTGTGGCCTAGCCCACTTTGCTTCAGTCTCTACTTAACAGACAGAAGAGCAGCAGTGTGTGTTTATCCTCTTGTTCTTGGAACACTGGAAGCAGGGCTTCGCTTCAGTAACAGGCCGAATCCCATGTGGCAGTGTGAAGTTTTTGGTTTTTTTTTTCTTCTTTTATGGGGGCTTGAATTCAGGAATGGTGTTCTACCACTTGAGCCACACCCCCAGCCCTTTTGCTTTAGTTATATTGAGATAGGCTTTTGCATTTCTACCTGTGATGGCCTAGACTGCGAACCTCCTGTTTATGCCCTCCACCCCCCCCCCCCCCGTCGCTGGGATAGCAGGTGTACACCGCTCAGCCCAGCTTTTTATTGGTTGAGATGGGATCTCACTAACTTTTTGCCTAGGCTAGCCTTCATCTTCCATCCTCTCAATCTTAGCTTCCTAAGTAGCTGGGATCACAGGCATGAGCCACTTCACTCAGCCAGCAGTGTATTTTACCAGACTTCTGGGCCAAACGTGATTGAATCCTATCCATGCTGAAGGAGGACTTTTTTTGTTTTTTGGTCAGTCGTGGGGCCTGGGCGCTGTCCCTCAGCATTTCAGCTCAAGGCCAGCACTCTACTACTTAAGCCACAGCGCCACTTCCGGCTTTTTCTGTTTCTGTAGTGTTGAAGAAATGAACCCAGGGCCTCAAGCATGCAAGGCAAGCACTCTACCACCAAGCCACCTTCCCAGCTGAAGGAGGACGTTTGTCAGAGGTCAGCGGGGTCAGAGTGCGCCCCCCACCCCACTGCCTCTGAGCAAGAGTGAGCTGGACTTGGACACATGCAGGTGCCCTGTCACCCGCGGAAGGCCAGAGAGCCAGGCTGTGGTGGAGAGGGACAAGCCCGTCTCCAGGCTCATTTTCCAGGAGAAAGATTCCCAGCACTGAGCCCCCACTGGCTTTTTTTTGTGTGTGTGGCCAGTTCTGGGACTTGAACTCAGGGCCTAGCACTGTATCTGAACTTTTTTTTTTTTTAATTACTCAAGTCTAGTGCTTGAGCCATAGCTCTGCTTCTGTAGAATTCCCACAGAGCTCTGTCCCTACATGCATAAGACCCCCAGGCCAGCATTCCTCAGTCTTCCCAGAGCCAGACATTTGTCACATCAGAACCCATGTCCACACATTATTGTTCAGCAGAGTCCATGCTTAGGGTCCCTCGTGGTGTATGTTATGTGGGTTGTTATGTGTTATGTGGGTTTAGACAAATACACAATGGCATGATGAGAATTTCTCTTTGTCCTACAGCAGCTCTGTCAAATGTCTGGTGCCTTGTGATCATTTTCCCACTTAAAATTGTCAGCACCAGTCATGTCTGTCTTCATCTAATAAAATGGCATTGTTGCATTAGAACCAGCACTTACAATGCTGCTGTTGAAAGCTGACTCCGAGTAGTGTGGGAACGCTGGGAGTGCAGACTGCACTGCCCCGAGGTGGCGTGCGCAGTTTCCTGGGACAGACAGGCCCCCACAGTGTATCAGGACGGGACCCACCATGGGTCGTCACTGTTGGCCAGGCCTGCAGCGCCAGACGCTGACGCACTGCTGTTCCCTGGCGTATCCCCGGGGCTGGTGGCGCTCTCCTGGTTTACAAGCCTTGTCTCCCATCACAGCTAGGAGTGGACATGTTTTGTTCTTCCATGGTTTAATTCGGTTGCAAGAAAATGTCAGCCCAGTGTCTTTCTTGGAAGCAGAGCTGTGAATTCCGATGCTGACGAGCCGAGCTATTGAACAAACACTTTTTGGGCCCCTACTCTGCATTCTGTATAAAGTGCTGTGTACTGCTGTTGTTTAACTTGTGGTCTGTAAATATTTGCTGATGATTAAAATCTATCAATATATCAATGTAATTTTTCAACCTTGGGAAGTAGGCATTGTTACTTCTGGTTTCTGGAACAGAACATGCCGTCTAGCACAACTGACAAATATGTATTTGGGTCTCAACAAACTTGGAGTGGGTTCACCTCTCCTAGCCCACCTGCATCTGTGTGGGGCAGGTCTAGCCCTGAGACTTGGTTGCCGTCTGGGGCCCGCTGGTCAGGGTGTCCTGTGTCTTTAGCATCGTTTCCCCTGTGGAGGATGGGCTTGGCACTGGGCAGCACAGACACAGGAAGGACATGCTGGAGCCTTGCTGGAACTCTGAGAGAACAGAGACCTCATGATAGGAGCGGCCTGTCCACTGCTGCAGGCCGTGTCCCGCAGTTGATATGGGCAGGGGGCAGGTCACATGCGTCCAGTGGGACACATATCAGAAGAGTTGTTTTCCAGTAATCACCAGCGCTGCTGCTCCGTGCTGTTAGCAGGCTGGTTCTCCATACCATGCTGGGATTTGTCCATGGGAAGAGCCCAGGGGCTTAGGGGTCCAGCAGGGGCCTCCAGAGGGCTTTCACGGGGCAGCTGCGCACTGGTAATTGTGATTTATAGGTAAACTTATTTTTTTTCTTTTTCTTTTCCCCCCTTTCTTGGGGCCTTGCCTTGTGCAAGTGGTCTACCAGCTTTTAATTCCCATATTCTCTGTATTTTAGGCTTTGGATGTGGACCGGATGGTTCTTTACAAAATGAAGAAATCCGTGAAAGCAATAAACATCTCTGGGCTAGGTGAGTATGCACTCCTTCCCAGGGGTTTGTGTGTAAAAGCAAAGCATTTCCTGAAGTCCTGCTCACCGTGCGCCTCCTGAGCACACAGCTGCGGGCGCTCCAGTCTGCAGAAGCATGTTTTGTTTGCCTGTCTGATTCAGGGACGAGCCTCTATCCTCTTTCTTTCCCCTGTCTTGTCTTCACAGCCTGTCTTGTGGGGCTGGCTGATGAGACCCCATGATCTTTCTGCCTCTGTTGTTTTCATTCAGAAACAAGAAGGTGGCCACCTTGGCAGATTAGAAGTTAGGGGGAATCTCAAAGATGTTGAAACAGGTGATGGACTGTAAATGGCTTACGCCTGTAATCCTAGCTACTTTCAGGAGGCTGAGATCTGAGGATTGCAGTTCAAAGCCAGCCGGGGCAGGAAAGTCTGTGAGATTCTTATCTCCAATTCACTACCAGAAAACCAGAAGTGGCGCTGTGACTCAAGTGGTAGAGCGCTGAAGAACTCAGGGACAGTGCCCCTCCCCCCCCAAAAAAAAGGTGAGCTCCTGGGAGAGTGCCCCGCTAAGCGTGGGGTGAGATTGCAGCGTTTAGTCCCTTTGTGTATACCAGCACGCCTCCATCCTGCAGCATCTCCTTTTAATCAGATGATGTTGGCAGAACAGGAGATGGCTTAGGTGATGGTGTGGAGCCCCAGGAATTCACATCCCATGAAGCCCCACTCACAGTAGCATGAGCACAAGCTCCAGTAGCCGCTCTTGACTGCAGAGCGCTGTGCGGGCCATGGCAGGAGTCTAGTGGATGGTCTTCACTCAGAGGGGACACTGTAGTAAACATTGCCAGGTGTATTTAGTGTCAGATTTCCAAGAGATACACAGGAACTCTGTGGACAGCTACAAAATGCTGTTGACTGACATTAAAGACAGTCTAAATGAGAAATGTATGATGTGCATGGGTTTGAGCACCTGCTTCACCCTGGTCCTAATCAAGCTGATTAAAAGATTTGGATGGAAGGATGGAAGATGGTCTTCTGCTTCTGGTAGACTCCTGTGTTGGGTGAGAGGGACAGGGAGGAATAATGGTAGGTTATTGTTGTTTTTTCTTTTTACACTTACTGTGTACTTTGTGCTTCCCATGCATTATGCTAATCTTGATAACAGACTACTTTTGTTAGACAAAGGAGGGATTTGTATATAGGAGAGATGAGGGTGTTATCAAGAAATTCAAAGTTCCACGATGCTGACTCAAGCTTGAGTGTTATGAAGCTACCAACTGCCTTCAGCCATCCTGACTTCAAGAAATCCCTAAATAGGATGCTCAGTTTTTTTTGCTGACAAACAGTAGACTCCACAAAGTATCTTGGGTGTGTCTGTTGTGGGGCCTGAACTCTGGGCCTGGGCGCTGTCCCTCAGCTCTTCAGCTCCAGACTAACCCTCTACTACTTGAGCCATAGCACTACTTCCAGCCTTTTCTGCTTATGTGGTGCTGAGGAATCGAACCCAGGGCCTCATGCATGCAAGACAAGCACTTACTACTACTGAGCCACCTTCCCAGCCCCGGAAGTATTTTTTCCTTATTTTTTTTTCACGTAGTCTTTTTGAACTTGTAAGTTGAAAAATACTCTAGACAATACATAAGATTATTTTATAGTCTAATTAGAGTAAAGGTGATTTTTTTTTTTAGAGTCAAGGTGACTTTATGCTTGCATGTTGACACCAGCAATGGGAAGGAAAGAATCTGCTTCTTGGGCAGCTGTTGCTCTATGGCTGCCCAGGGACTTTGTGTGACTCCCCAGCCAGCCCGGCTTGGCACACACGCAGGGAAAGGTGCGGGAGGCCGGCCTTCCCGTTGCTACAAACCTCATCTCCTCATCTGCTTCCCTGCAGGAGTTTCTTAAAATACAAGCCAGCAGTACTGCCTTCTCTGCATAAGACATGGCAGTATTCCTTTTTTGCCCACAAGGAAGTTCATCGAGGTGAATTCCATCCCGAGATGGGAGGTAACGGATCCGAGCTCCCGGGTGCTTTAGAACTTTCAGAGAGTGGAGATGAAGCAGAAATACAAAGATTCCTCACCTACAGAACAATCAAAGATCTTAGATATGATCTTGACTTTTCCAAAGATGGGTGTGTTTTAAATAACCTGGTAGACTCAGGTTATTATTAATTAATAATATTAATTCCCATGAAGCAATCATTCTTAGGGCCACTCGCGCCTGTGTGTGGGTCTTGGAATGCCTTGAAGTTTCTCCATTGTACCACATTTTGTACCTCCTTCCCTGCACACGCTCCACCGACCTGTCGGTGAGGCCCAGGGAAATTGGGACGTTTGTTCAGAGTCACAACAGGGCGGGCGGGGATGTGCCTGCGGCTCTGTGGGCGTCTCGTCCGTGTCCTTGCTGAGAGGAGGCTGTGACCTTGCTACAGGAAGCTGGCAGTCCACCTGAACTTGGAGGGGGGTCTTCTATTTATGTCGCCCTGCATCCATCCCTTACACCAGGCCAAACTCGAGTTATTATAAGGGCATGAGTCTGGATTTTTTTTTTTAAAGCTGGATTACTGAAATCTTTATTTCAGAACAAGTGCTGTCACCTGAGGAAATGCTATACTTTTCCTGTGATGGTGCTGACAGTGGCCACAGCATGTTTGCAGCTCTTCTTTAGAACTGCTTTTCATAGCACATTCTTTTGAATATATTTAGTAGAGGAGTCTAAGGACAGATTAAATTGTTGCAGAAATAAGTCAGCCACTTTGAACAGGGGCACAGGCTGCGGCTGCCATGCTTTCCAGCTAGACTGTGTGGAGCGTGCTCAGTGTCCCCAGACAGCTGCTGTTCTGGGAGGAGCACTCACTGCACGCCGGATGGAAAGACCAGTGAGAATCCTGCCACCTCTGCCACACTTCGCCTTTGTGCCTCTTCCTATCCTATGTCACTTCTGGTCTCATCATCCTTAATTCCTTGAGCCTAAAGTGGTCCCAGTCTGACCCCTTCATCTGCCCGTGTGTGTGTGTGTGCGTGCACGCGCACGCTCATGCGCCAAGCTGGCTGCCCTCCTTGCTAGGGGAGCTAGTGGTGACTCTTATCTTTGTCTTCATAAACCCTACCCGGAGCTATAAACACTCCAGTCACCTGGGTGTGATCTGCCCAGCCTTCTCCTTCCTGCTCTGTCAAGTGGAGACTTGAACATGGTTAGTCTTACAAACATTTAAACTTGTGTTGTTGCTGTAACAAACCACTATGCTAAGTGACTTAAAATGACACAAATTTACCTATTAGATTTTCTCATGAGAAGCATGAGAAAACATATGAATATATATATATATATATATATGAATACTAAAATCAGTGTTTTTCCAATAGCTCTAGAGGAAAGTCCATTTCAACTATTCCAGTTTCTACCTGCTACCTGCATTCATTCATTCATTCATTCATTTTCTCTCTCTCTTTCTTTGTCTTTCCCTCTTCCTCTTTCTTTCTCTCTCCCTCTTTCTTTCCCTCTCTCCCTGCCTTCCTGCCTCACTTCCTCTTTTCTGCCTGCCTCCTGGGATTTGACTCAGGGACTTACAAGTCCTGCACCACCAGATCCATACTTGGAGCCCTTTTATTTACTTTAATTTTATTTCGGGTAGGGGTTCGTGTTTTTGCCTGGGTTGGCCTCAGGTGGAGATCCTCCTGCCTCCCGTGTAGCTAGATGACAGGTAGAACCGCTACATCCGGCTTGTTGATTGAGATAGCCTTGAATCCCAGTCCTCCCGCCTCCAGTACCTGAGTTAGCATGGTACATAGCTGAGAAAGTTGTTTTCTCACAGTTTTGGAGGCTAGAAATCCCCAATTAGGGCACCATAATGGTTAGCTTGTGGGGAAGAAAAGGAAGCAAACTCTCTGGGGGATTCTCATAAGGGCACTAATCATGTCATGAGGGCCCACTCATCAAAACGTAATGATTCCCAGTAGTCCTATCTCACGCATCACATTGAGAGTTTGAGCTTTAGTATTTAAGTTCAAGGAGACCATGTTTAGTCCCATAGCACTTTTTGGTATAATGGAGCCCCCTCAGATGATCCAGGACAGTCTCCCCATCTCAGGTTAGTTGGTTAGCAACTTTAATTTCACGTGTGATCTTAGTTCCTTTTTGCCTGCTAGCATACTCTCACCAGGTTCCATGAATCAGGACCTAGTCACTGTCTTGGGGGATGGACCGTTATTCTACCTACCTCACCTCTGAGCACTGCAGTTTTGAGGTTGAATCAGATGAAATTAAAGGATCTCTAATAAATAAGTATTTAAGTTGCCTTACATTGTTCTGGTCTTTTGCCTTCTCTCCTTGATTAATTGCAAGTCCATGAGGTTAAGGACCAATTTTAGGAGACTGTAGTTTGTTGATAAAGAGCTCAGAGGTACTAAAATCCAAGAAACCTGTATTAAAAACTAGCAATGCCACTCAAAATCTATGATGTTAGGCGCCTCAGTTTTCTAACAGGTAAATAGATTATTAATACTGTCACAGTAGTACCGAGAATTACCTGAATTTATATGTACTAATGACAGAGTACCAGATAAATACATTTAGATGAGTGTGGCAGGTGTAAATACACCTTCTGTGTACTTGTTGAGTGTCTTGCACAGGGGTAGGCAAGTTTACTTAGATTATTACCATGTATCTGCTGCAAGTACTTAGACTGTCCTCTTAGCACAGAAGAGTAAACTGATCATTTTCAATATAAACTGTGTTATGGCGGACCCTAGAGTCTACTGTTGGCTTTTCTGTGCTTGAGAGTTGAGCTGCTCTAGAGCAGCAGTTTACAAACTGTCCATTCACCTGTGTTCTTACAGCCTGTGAGCTGAGAATGAATTTCACTTTACTCAGTAACATCAGTATTGCCTCTTAACTTGAAAAGCCTTAGGTAACTACTCTCTGGCTTTCTGGGGGGAAAATTTACTTACCCCTGTTTTTTTTACCGCAGTGGTCCTGAAACCTCAGAGAGCAGCAAAATCTCCTGGGGGGGTCTTATTAAAAC